TGGGAGTTACAATTCAAGATGAGATTTGGGTGGGGACACAGCCAAACCATATCATGGGCTGGTCTTGAACTCCTGGGCTTAGGCAATCCGCCTGCCTCGGCCTTCCGAAGTACTGGAATTACAGGCATGAGCCACTACACCCAGCCTAATTATTTAGACAGTTCTAAAGGATCATTCCAGCTTCAGAACTTCTCATAGGGTAAGCAGAGGCCTCTATTGGGAATGTCCCAACTTCTCCCTCTGCCCTATTTTGGTTCCTTTTCTTCCACAGGTGCTCTAAGAACACTCCGTAGTAAAGTTCCCATGTGCTAATCTGCATCTCAGAGTCTGCTTCCCAAGGAATCTATCCTGTGACAATACCTGCCCAGGATGCTATTGAACTGTTCTGAGTAGGGTAACAGGCATGGTCCCCTGCAGCCCTGTGACTGCCAAGTCTCTGGGCATCTGAAGCTGAACACTCTAAGTCTACAAATCTCCATCCTATCCCCTGCCTGCAATCTATATGGATGATTCTCAATAAAACCTTAACCTTCTTTCTAATCACCTATCCCAATGTTACTTGGGAGGGGCACTTGTTAAATCACTAGGTTATTCATTCAATCACTTGTCCATCTTTCAACAAATATTTCTTAAGACCTAAATATGTACTAGGTCTGGTGGGTGCAAGGGTGCACAGAAAACCTCTTTCCTGGAGCTTACACTCTCATAAAGGGAGACAGATATTGATGAACACATCATTTCTCAAATTTCAGCCATTTGCATACTGCTTCCAACATTTTTGCCATATAAACTATATGAATTAGAAGTACCATAATGGCCTCCCTTCATCCCCTGCCACCCCTTGCTTTCTATACTTGAGCCTCACTGGCATCATGCTTCTTCCTGCCACAGGGCCTTGGCACATGCTGCTGCTTCTATCTGGAGTGTTCTTCACAAGCCTTGCCATATCTCTTTAACTAGTCAACTCTTACTCTTCCTTCAGATAGCAGCTCACTTCCTGGGGGAAGCTCTTAAGTGAAATGAAGTGAAGTTGCCTAAGCCCAGGAGTTCAAGACCAGCCCATGATATGGTGTGGCTGTGTCCCCATCCAAATCTCATCTTGAATTGTAACTCCCATAACCCCCATGTGTCATGGGAAGGACCCGATGGGAGGTAATTGAATCATGGGGGGAGAATGAAGTCTGATTATGGTACTTCTAATTCATATAGTTTATGTAAGATGGATTCTTTTATCTACTTTAAGGCCCATTGTATGCAAAAACACTTATAAAAGTATAAGTATTCACTACTAGTAGTACTATATAGATATTTCTTCTAATACACATTAACATAAACAATAACTTTAACGTCATAAAAGGACATCCACATATCATCTGTCCCGTCATACATATACCACACTTTAGGAAGTAATTTACCCAAGGAATCACACAGAGAAATGTAAAATTGCAACTGTCACAGCTGCTTGCAAAGAAATATCCAGTATCCTCAGACCATATAAGAAGGGGATTTCACTTCATTTCACTTAAGAGCTTCCCCCAGGAAGTGAGCTGCTATCTGAAGGAAGAGTAAGAGTTGACTAGTTAAAGAGATATGGCAAGGCTTGTGAAGAACACTCCAGACAGAGGCAGCAGCATATGCCAAGGCCCTGTGGCAGGAAGAAGCATGATGCCAGTGAGGCTCAAGTATAGAAAGCAAGGGGTGGCAGGGGATGAAGGGAGGCCGGCCAGGGAGGTAGAAGCCAGTGATAGAAGAGGGAAGCTGGTGGACTCCATTCTCCACCATCTGCAGACAACCACGTAGAAGCCACATATACACGATCATCCTCTCTCCCCACACAGCTGAATTATAACACTTCCTTAGACCCTCTGCCAAAGGACACAAATAATCAGTATCAACTTGCATGTATCTGGCCTGGACTCAAATCTGAAACTCTGAAATTTATTTCAGACATGAAACTTTGGAAGCTGAAGTTGTATTTGCTAAATACTTAGATCTTTCATGGAGGCCTTTATTCATTCCATTCAGCAGGTGGAGTAGAGGAAAATGCTTTTTATTCCCAACATATTCCCTTAAACCCAAAAGGAAAAACAAAGTTTGCCAGCATAGCTGAGGTGGGAGTTAGAACAGAGAAGCAGTGATTCTGTTCTGTATCTTGAGTCTCATTCATATCGAAAACATGAAGTAATTAGCTTCTTATTGCTGTACTTCCAGAGATTCTGAATTTGATGTTTCTGTCCAAGTTTGGGTAGCTATGCTACTATTCAGTCCAAAAACAAATGAAGCAGCTTAAAAAGAATCACACAACTAAAAACCACATCTTTCACAAGCTACAAAAACAGAAGACAACTAGGAAACTTTTCAGAGATGGTGCCAGTTTCATGATTCAGGGACAGGAGAGGGGGAATTGGCTAGCTGGAGGCAATGTCTTAATCTGGGTATGAAAATAGATAATATACATATGTTTTTATAGATCTAAGGAGGAAAACTCAACAGCTCACATTACTTTTCAGAAACTAGCTCCTTAGAGTCCTAAGGTCAAATAGTGATCCCATGGAAAAGACAAATAAACCAAAGGGAAATTAAAGTGAATAGAGACAAAATATTTTTGGTATTCCAGGTTCTATGAGAAACATGACTGATTCTTTATAATAACCACTCTGAATTGATCTCATTCCTTTTTCTAAAAGGCATGGGGCTAGGTGTGATGGCTCACACCTGTAATCCCAGCACTTAGAGAGGCCGAGGTAGGTGGATCATTTGAGGTCAGGAGTTCGAGACCAGCCAGGCTAACATGGAGAAACCCCATCTCTACTAAAAATACAAAAATTAACCAGGCATGGTGGTGCATGCCTGTAATCCCAGCTATTCAGGAGGCTGAGGCACAAGAAGAACCTGGGAGGCAGAGGTTGCAGTGAGCTGAGATCGTGCCACTGCACTATAGCCTGGGTGACAGAGTGAGACTCTTGTCTCAGAAAAAATAAATAAATAAAGTTTAAACGGCATGGACAGGAGATCTGCCTTCCTGACAACCAAACAATAAAGTACTTTCTGAATTCCTGGTTTGGAAGAAGGGATTGTAACAGACACCAGAGAATCCAGAGAACAAAAAACCGACACTATTAAGAGGTTCACACTCACAATTTGGCTGGTGAACGTGATATATGAACAAATCATTAGAATGTAACAGGAGAGCACTAAGAGGAATATGGACTGGATGCTACCAGAACACAGGTAGGAGGAAAAATTCTACTCAGGGGAGTTAGGGAAGACTTCCCAGAGGAGGAACGTTTCAGCTCTATCAGAAGAGACAAGCAGGCACTACGGTTTGTACATTCGCATGTCCCCAAAATTCATGTGTTGAAACCGAATCACCAGTGTGATAGCGTTAGGAGGTAGGACCTTTGGGAGGACCTACCTCCTAAAGGAATTAGCACCAGTATAAAAGAGGCCTGCTGGAACTGCCTTGTCTCTTCCACTGTGAGGACAAAGCCAGAAGGAGCCATGAACCACTTTCTATCAACTAGAAAGTGGGTCCTTGCCAGACACCAAATCTGCTGGTGCCTTGATCTTGAGCTTCCCAGCTTCCAGAACTGTGAACAATAAATTTCTTACAAGCTATTCAGTCTGTGGTATGTTTTTACAGCACAAAGACAGCAGGTGTCTACCAGGTGGGGAAGTAGGAAAAGGAAGCAGGACCATGGAGTCTCACCTCACTCATGGATTAGATACCAAAGAGTCGCGCACGAAAGGGAGCCACACGTGGTCAAAGTCACCCCCAACAAGCCTGCAGGGAGACGCATGTACCATCCTTGGGCCAATCCAACATGGCCGTTTCTTCCTCCCACATGGAAACAGATCACAGATCACTGCTTCTTCAGCTGGGCACTAGAGGAAGTCACTGACATGTGCTTGGGGGCTACATCCTATGAATATAGTGAATAATTAAGCACCATCATCACCCTTAGCCAAGAAGTGCTCCTGGAATGAGAGGCCCAGAAAACTGGGGTAACAGCAGACTCCCACCTCACCTCTCACTGCCCTGGGAGCACAAATGCAAGGAGTAGAAGGATGAGCAGATCACCCACACTATTAACTGCGACTTTTTCTTTTCTCTCTGCCAAGTAAAGTTTCTTTCCTGTGAGTTAACTATGTGTGTGTGACGTCACTTTCCTGCCAAGGAGAGGGCACAAGCTCTGGAGTCCTCTGATGCTACTACTGTATTTGTGATTTCCGTAAGACTTGGTCTCCCTATCTCTAATACGGGGAGAACAGCGTAAGCTTCTTCACTTGGTTGGCATGAGGATTCAGTGAACTAAGCCATGCAGATTGCATAGAAACACTGCAAGGCACAGGGAAAGTGGTCCATGAGTATTTACTATTACTGCTATTATTAGGACTCCAGTCAGAGGACACAGCACAGGTTTGGGCCCAAGTACAAGAACAGCAGGTTCAAAGGATGTTGAGCAGCACAACTTGCCAGAGGTGAAGCTGGTAAAGCAGGAAACTTACTTCACAAATCAGGAGAATTTGGGAAGGTTCTTTATTGCAGGACTAAGCTTCTACTCTGCCTTTGGGCAAGAAGAAACCAGTGGAGATTTGAAGCAGGTAAGTCATAACTTGACATTTTGATTAAACTGAGATAGCTCTAGCTGTACCGTGGGAGAGAAGGTGGGAAAATCAACCAGGAGGCTCCCGCAGGAGGTTAGTCTTGAGATAAGGAGAAAATAAATTGGCTGGGCGCAGTGACTCATGCCTGTAATCCCAGTGCTTTGGGAGGCCGAGGCAGGAGGATCTCTTGAGGCCAGGAGTTTGAGACCTGCCTGGCCAACATGGTGAAACCCCATCTCTACTAAAAATACACAAATTATCTGGGCGTGGTGGCACATGCCTATAATTCCAGCTACTCAGGAGGCTGAGGCATGAGAATCACTGGAACCCAGGAGGCAGAGGTTGCAGTGAGCTGAGATCATGCCCCTGCACTCCAGCCTGGGCAAAAGAACAAGACTCTATCTCAAAAAAAAGAAAGAAAGAAAATGAATTGACAATGATGATGATGATAATGACAGTCTTGGCGTGGGTCCCCCAAAAACAGACCCTGAGACCATGACTTGGGTGCAGGTTGAGAGGAAAGTCCAAGAAGTACAAGTTGAGGGAGGAGAAAGGCAGACGTGGAAGGGAGAAGGGCCAAAAAAAGGCATATCCCTGAGCAGGTGACTGCTGTAGAAAACTGGCCTCGATTCCAACGGGGGCGCTCTGAGGGACTGTGGAGGAAACACCTCAGAATTGCCCAGCAAGGGAAGCTGGGGTACTTACTCATTGACTTCCATCTTTCTCTGGTTGAGGGTTTCTACAGGAGGTGTAAATCCCAGGACTTCTGGGCTGCTCTCCTCTGGAATGACAAGCTCCTGGAGCACCTGAGGAAGTCCTTGGGGAGAGAAAGAGAGAGAGGTGGGCTTTGAGGTGGGAAGTTTGAGTTTGATTGGGAACTGTCCTTCAGGGCTGCATGTGAGCTCAGAAGTGGCTGACAGGATATGGGGAGTTGGAGAGGAGGAGGAGGAGGAAGAGTAATGGCAGCAGGCAACCTTTACTGGGTGTTTCCCATGGGCCAGGCATGGTGCTAAGCACTTAATATAAATACATTATCACAGTCTACCCTTACAGCCCTCAGGAGGTGATGATGCTCTTAGTATCTTCATCTTATAGATGGGGAAACTGAAGCACCAAGAGGTTATATGATATACCCAAAGTCACACAGCAAGTAAACGATGACACCCATACTTGAGCTCACGTATTCCGAGTCCAGGGTCCACACCTTCCGTCACTACTCTATACTGCCTCAGAGAGAATGGCAACATGCTGGGAAGAAGGGATAAATCTGAGAACAATTTAGGGTAGTACTGCCCGTAGAATTTTCTGTAATGATGGAAATGATATCTGTGCTGCACAGTATAGTAGTCATTAGCTACATGTGACTCTTGAGCACTTGGAAATGTGAATTGTGTGACTGAAGAATTAAAATTTGAATTTTATGTAATTTTAATTAATTTAAATTGAAATAGCAATGCATGGCTAGTGGTTACTGAACTGGACAATGAAAATTTAGGAGGTAGAATATCCTGACATGAAGAAGGTGACGATGACTTAGAACTTCACTAGCATGATGATGTTATACTGCATGGTGATGTGTGCCACAGTAAGTTACTAAGAGTATTTTAAAATCTGAAATTAGGGTGGGCATGGTGGCTCATGCCTGTAATTCCAGCACCTTGGAAGGCCGAGGCGGGAGGATTGTTTGAGCCCGGCAGTTTGAGACCAGCCTGGGCAATGTGGCAAAATCCCCTCTCTAAAAAAATACAAAACTTAACCAGGTGTGGTGGCACATGCCTATAGTCCCAGCTACTTGGGAGGCTAAGGTGGGAGGATCTGTTGAGCCTGGGAGGTTGAGGCTGCAGTGGGCTGGGATTGCACCACTGCACTCCAGCCTGGGTGACAGAGTGAGATCCTATCGCAAAACAAACAAAATCTTAAATTAATAAATTTTAAATTTTTTATTTTAAAATGTTATCAAATGAAGGCAGATCCATAGTTTAAAAAGTCATATGGTTGTATAGGGTTTATAACAAAACGCAGCAGCCTCCCCTCCCGTTGCACCCACTTCCTGCTCCCAGAGGCAACTACTTTCATTTCCTCTAGATACTTCTTTTGATACCTTTGTATTTCTAAATATCATGTTGACATTGTATTTCCTGATTTTTCTTCAATATTAAACAGTATCTATTGGCTTCATTATGGGAAATACGGATTTATCTTCTTGCCCTATCCGCCAGCCAGATGTATACATAGACTCCACTGCATCCCAGTGCCATTTGCACTCTCCCTATGTAGCCACAGCACACCATTGGTTAGATCAACATTCAATGTTTACATAGTAAAACTATGTAACTGTTAGTTGCATAAAGACCACACAGATGATTGTGTTTCTTTTCTTACAGCAGTGTCTGGTTTTTATTGCCTCCATTTTCAACCTGCTTATCATTAATTCAGGCCCGGCGCGGTGACTTATGCCTGTAATCCCAGCACTTTGGGAGGCCGAGGCTGGAGGATCACAAGGTCAGGAGATCGAGACCATCCTGGCTGACATGGTGAAACCCCATCTCCACCAAAAACTCAAAAAATTAGCTGGGCATGGTGGCAGGCACCTGTAGTCCCAGCTACTCAGGAGGCTGAGGCAGGAGAACTGCTTGAACCCAGGAGGCGGAGGTTGCAGTCAGCTGAGGTCGCGCCACTTCATTCCAGCATGGACAACAGAGCGAGACTCTGTCTCAAAAAAAAATAAAGTCATTAATTCAGGCCCAAACTTTCTGGTAAAACTCTATAAAGTCTCTTAGTACAGTCAACTACATTGCTTATCACTTCCACTTTTCATTGCAATATCCATTCTGAAGCCCTCCAATCTCTTTCTCCAATTCATGAGGCTGTTCTCGGGGCCTCCTGCAGGGCAGTCACCCTGTGGCTTCCCTCCACGATTTTCCTGGGATTCCTTATAACTCCCTCCTGTTTTAGACTGGCTGTTCTAGGATCCCACAGAATCTTCTTTCTTGATTTATTCTTCACCCACCTACCCATCTTTTAAAATATCCTTCAGTAGCTTTTTTATAAATGGTACATGGAAAGTCACTTTTTAAAAAGGGGCTTTGTCATGAAAATGTCTTCATTCTAGCCTTTTACTTTTGTGACAGTCTGGCTGGGTATGGAAATTTCAGTTGGAAATTATTCTCCCTCATAAACATGAAGACATTGTTCTTTTATCCCGTAAGAGTACTGAAATGAAAAAGTGTGATGTCATTCTGATTTCTGATCAATTACATGGCATGCCTTCTTTTCCTCTGGAAGTTTTCAGTATCTTCTTTGCCTCCAGTGTTTGAAATGTTTTACTAGTGAGCCTTAGTATGAATATTTTTATTCACTGTGTTGAGTTTGTGGTGGGCCCTTCCAATCTAGAAACGTATGTCCTTTGGTTCTAGGAAATTCTCTGGTACAACTTCTTAGATAATTGTCTCCTATCCATTTATTAAGTATCCCCTGCCAACCCAGCTCTACTGTTAGTAGAAGCTTGACTTCCTGATTTGATCTTTTAATATTCTTCTTTTTCTATCTCTCTCTTATTTTCCATCTTTTGGTGTTTTTTTGTCATATTCTCTGGAAGATTTCTTCCACTTGTTTTAAATTAAGGAAGAATTAAAAGATGCAATAATTAAATGAATGCTTAGTCTTTGACTGGAACTTTATTTGCAAAATACAACTATGAAAGACAATTTTGAAAAAATTGGAGGAATGTGAATATGAAATGGATATTAAATGATATTTTAAAATTATTAAGGATTTATTGAAGGATATTAGGGAATTATTATTAAGTTGTATAGTGGTTAATTTTATGTGTCAATGTGTCTAGGCCACAGTCCACCAATATTTGGTCAAGTATTATTCTAGATACTTCTGTAAAGGTATATGCTATGTAAGGTTAACACTCAATTAGACTTTGAGTAAAGCAGAGTCTCCTCTATAACGCAGGTGGGCCTCATCCAATCAGCTGAAGGCCTGAATAGGAAAAAGACGGACCTCCCTTGAGGAGGAAGGAATTATGCCAGCAGACAGCTTTCACACTCAAACTACAACATCGGCTCTTCCTTTAGGTATTTTTTTCTTTATTTATTTTGAGATGAGAGTCTCACTTTGTCTCCCAGCTGGAGTGCAGTGGCATGATCATAGCTCACTGCAACCTCAAATTCCTGGCCTCAAGGGATCCACCCACCTCAGACTCCTAAGTAGCTGGGACTACAGGCAAGTACTACGATGCTCTTGAGTTTTCAGCCTGCCATCATACCCTGCAGGTATGATGGACTTGCCAGCCTCCACAATCGTGCAAGCCAATTCCTTAAAATAAATATCTATCTCATACACACACACACACACACACACACACACACACACACATACCCCCTGTTGCTTCTGGTTCTCTGGAAAACTCTAACGTAAGTTGTTAAGCAGTGGGTGTATGAGTGTTTATTATACTATTCTCTTTACTTCTGTTTTAAAATTCCCAAAGTAGACAGTCAAATCAAAGAGGAAAATTAAAAAATCATAGCAGTGGGTGGACAGTACTGGGGGTTCATTAGTCAAGTAGATGAGGTTTTTAAACTCCTCAGGGAGTGGGAGCAGGTAAGAAACTAGGTCTTGAGCTGAAGGTAGGCAGGAACTGCAATTGAGACATCTGTTAACCAGGAGTTTCGAAGAACTACACTCTAGTCAGAGAAGGGATGGATCAAAACAAAATAGCCTATTCATTGGCCTGAGGATGCGGCTCTCTTCAACCTTGTGCCATGAAGAAGAAAGTTCTCCAAGACTTTATAATCATGAGCCTGTCCTCAAGAAGATTTGGGCTACAACGTTATACCTGCTTGGTCTAGGAACCCTTAGCCTTAGAAATTAACATAAGAAAGAGGTCCGTGATATTCCTGGGACACCAGGTGACAGCAAAGAAAAGCCTCTCTGTAGATCTAAAGCCCTAAATCAGGATGCTTGGTGTTTCCATGTTTACTGCACCCCAATCAATAGCTCATAATTCAAAAATTACTTACAAAAAGTTAAATGAGAGAGAGCCAGCAGACACACCAACTGTACGTCTGAACATGCAAGAGCTTCAGATACTGAACATTCAAGAGCTTCAGGACACTGACTGGATACAGGCCATAAAATAAGCATCTTTAAAATGATCCAATACGTTTTTCAAAAAGGACTTAAAATTGAGAAATAAAAAGGCTATCATAAACACTAGCAGATTTAATTCAGAAAGTAACTAAATACAACTTCAAATGAAAAATGGAGACATTGAAATCAAAAACCCAATAGGCAGAAACTTCCAGAAATGGCAGAGGATTGAAGTGGTTTTGAAATGTTCCCACTGATAACAATGATAAAAACAAGTTTGGGGGGGAAAAAAAAAAACTTTTTTAAAGAAGAACTATTTAAAGACCCTGGAGAGAATCCAAAAGCAGATAGAAGCAGGAGACTTTAATCTTAAAAACTGCCACAGGAAGGAGTAGGAATTTCAAGTTTCTATCTTCCCCACCCGAGGGTGATGTCCAACCCTCACAGCTAGGGCTGTGAAAAACAGCCATGGAAAAACCGCAGCCTTACCAGCTAAGGGTTCCACAGATTGGAGTTCAAGGCTGAAAAGTAGCTACAAGTCTACAGGAAAAGTACTGGCAGCAGAAAAACCACAGAAGAAGTATAAAACTCTGGGTATAAACTCTGTCCAGGTCTCTGGCCAAAAGCTAAACTACACATATGTGGTAAAAGACCCTGAGGAACCTGGTGAAAAAGTGGACAGAAACCAGAGCAAAATCTCCCCTTGAATACAGAGCT